TTGGAGCTCACCAAGTGGTGGTCTCCAAGTTGGCCCCCAAAGGGAAGCCATCGTTACGTGAGGAAGCTTATCAAGGGAAGGCAGGAACTGTGAGTATTGAAACTCAAAATGCTAGTGTTAGAGGGGACATTGCAAATACTTTGATCTAGCCTTGTCACTTTACAGTGGCTAAACCAAGGACCAGAGTGGTTTGGTGGCCCGTCCATGGTCACACCGCCAGTTGGTGGCAGACACCAGGTTCTGAGATCACTGCCTTTCCTAGGACAAACTGAGAATGACCGTACTCCTGCTCTTGAGACAACTTTGCTTCTCAAGTAGTGGCCATGGCCACCCTGTCCAGTTGTCATCCTCATTCCTCTGGTGGCTCTGCCTGACCCCAAGGCATTTCCTTTCAACCTTGCTGACCTCGCCTGTGCTTGTGTGGTTGGGCTGGAGGAGAATCCACTCGGGCCACTGGACGCATGTGATGCCCTGTAGTCCCTCATCTCCAGGGCACTTTCAGGCCTGCTATCTCAGTGGTTCCTCACCATATCGCTGGAAAATATGACTTGTTAGTATTCTTATTTTATAGAGGAGGAAACAGATACAGAGATTGTGACAAAGCCACATTGCCTGGGGAGTATATTAACTGCCCATTGCTGCTGTAACAAATTACCACAAACTCAGTGGCTTTAGACAACACAGATTTATCTTACAGTTCTGTCGGTCAGAGTTCCAGAGTGGAATCTGGTTGCCTGCCCTCTGAAGGCCGAAGGATACAGTCCATTTATTTGCCTTTTCCAGCTTCTAGAGGCCACCGGTATTCCTTGACCCATGGCCCCTTCCTCTATTTTTAAAGTCAGCAATGGCTGGTCAAGTCTTTCTCACGTTGCATTGCCATGACACTGACTTATCTGCCTGCCTCATCCACATTTGAGGACCCCTGTGATTACACTGGCCCACCCAGATAATCTAGGATAATCTCCTTAGTTTAAGGTCAGCTGATTAGCAACCTAAATTTCATCTCAGCCTTAATTCCACCTTGCCATGTAACATAACATAGTCACAGGTTCCCGAAATGAGAATGTGGACATCTTCAGAGGCTTATTATTCTGTCTACCACAGAAGGTGGAGTTTACTCTCAGGGCTTTTGATTCCAAATCTGCGATACCTATAAATACCAGCAAGAAAGCCTGTTTTGACTTGATTTCTTGAGGCCAGTGAAACCTAGAAGGTTCCAAGCACAACAGCTCTCCCTAATTAATTATAACCTGTTTTCCTCTGCACTGGTCTGTGCCCTGACACAACATATTTTGGAAACTTATGTTTCAAAAAGGATGAATGGGTGACAGTCTGAGTTATTTTGAGTGGCCCAGGCCAGGGAGGAGGTGCGTGACTCAGTTCCCACTTCTTGGCTTTATGCCGTGCCATACCCAGAGTAAGGAGCCCAGGAGAAGCGAATACAACCTTTTCTGTCACAGATACTCTTTGATCACATTGGATGCTGTAGTCCTCTCTGCTCGAGGGCGAAATTTGCCAGTCACTGTAGCTCTTGATAAATGTATTGTAATCAATTCTACTTCATTAGCTGTTCTTTTTTTATTACTCTAGAAAATAAATGAAAACTTAAATTTAGCCACCACCATACAGCAGTATATTTGTATTGGAGGTGAATGGGCTGATTTAAAAGGATTTCCTGCTGACTTTTAATTCAGATACGAAATGTGAGAATGGAGTTGATTCTTGATGTTGAAGCTTTACCATGACTTGTGTAGTTTAGTTTATTCACCCAGCACACAGTTCAAAAGGGTCAAGGATGTCTGTACCTCAGCTCAGCTGTGTTCCCCGCCTTGTCCACCTTCAAATCTTGCCACCTGGTATTTAGTACCTAGTGTATATCCAACCATGTGCTAGGCACTAAGAGTTCCAAGCAATGGAAGACATAGTTTCTATGTGACACATTTAGGATTCTTAGTGACAGCCTTCAACTTAGTGGTAACATACAGACTTGGTACAAAAAAATGTCACCGAGCAGGGAAGATACAATATGCATAGAGAAACAAGGCTTCACTCCAGAGCTGGACTAGCCAGGGAGATCTTTTTTGAACAGTGATACCTTTCCAGAGGGTAGGGTTGAGCCGGAGAGAGAAGGAAGGGGAGAGGAGCTGACTGAGTGAGTGTGGAGGCAGCCGTCCACATGGCCTGAGGGGGGTGTCTGCTGGGCCCTGTGCTAGTTTGGGGAGGGGCTGGGAGACAAGGTAGGGGAGAAGTGACTTAGGCAGGAGTGGAGGATGTGTTATGGCTGCTCCCCGGACTGTGGTTAGGAAACCGTAACAGGAGCCTAGCTTCTCCTTTTCATCGTGGAGAAGACAGGAAGCCTGGGCCGAGGAGGGGTCCTGATACCCTGTACTGAGGCCTCGTGCCCAGCTGGGACAGGCGCAGGCTGGCTATAAAAGCCTGAGTTGCTTCTGGCGTTTTGTTGCCTCTGTTCCTCTGTGTTCCGTGCTAGCCATGCTGTGAGCCTGTAGGGAAGAGAGGTCGTTTGTTGGCTGCAGAGCCACAGGAGTTCGTGTCCCTGAGCCCCCGTGTCTTCTGCAGGAGGCGGCAGACCTGTCCTCCCTGAAACCCAAGTTGGATGAGCTGGGCGTCCCTCTCTATGCAGTGGTGAAGGAGCACATCAGGACTGAAGTGAAGGACTTCCAGCCTTATTTCAAAGGAGAAATCTTCCTGGATGAAAAGGTGCGTGTGCTGTGAGCCAGACAGAGACTATTTGAGATCGTGCTTGGCTGGGGAGAGTGCAGTGGCCCAGGGTGTGCCTGGCCTGGAGCCGGAGCTGGTGTTCCTTTCAGCTGCCCTGAACTGGCAGGGCCTTTCCCAGCCCTCTGAACAGAACGCAATCACACACTTAAAAGCTGTCCTCTCAGTTACAGGCGGTCCTTGCCTTAAGAGTGTTCAACTTACGGTTTTTCGACTTTATGATGGGGTAAGAGCATATGCATCCAGTAGAAACTGTACTTCAAGAACATACAACCATCACGTTTTTCACTTTCAGTATTCAGTAAATTATATGAGATATTCAGCACTCTCTTATAAAACAGGCTTTGTGTTGGATGATTTTGCCCAGCTGTAGGCTAATGTAAGTGTTCTGAGCACCTTTAAGGTAGTCTAGGCTAAGCTACGCTGTTTGGTAGGTTAGGTGTATTAAATGCATTTTCAACTTAGCATATTTTCAACTTGCAGTGTGTTTCTCAGGACATATCATAAGTCAAGGAGTATTTGTATTACTTAAGCCCTTCCTACAGTGTGACTAGGGAGGGTAGGAAATAGCTGAAACTCCGTCAAGTCCCCCACCATAAGGTACGGGCCCTAGCACAAACCGCCTGTCCCTTAATTCATTGCAGCCATATTTTTGTCCCCTCTACTCCCACCTCTGCAGGATGTAGCACTGTTCCCCCGTCAGGTGCAAGACCTAGTGAGAAGTTAGAGTCAGAGTTGAGAGCTGCAGTCTGTTCCCTTAGGTTGGGCCTGCCTTGAGGTCGGGAGCTATGCCTGGCAGGATTCTGTTTCCTCAGGCAGTTGAGAGTGGTCCTGGGTGGGAGCTGTCTGTGTTTGGTGGAGTCCAGGACATGAGCCAGCAGGCTTTGGGTCTTTGCCTGAGGACAAATACCCTGTTGGGAGCCTTTCCTCCCTGGGGAGGCAGGCATCTAGGCTGCTCACTTGGGATCTGTCTTTCTCACTTCATAGAAAAGGTTCTATGGTCCACAAAGGCGGAAGATGATGTTTATGGGATTCATCCGTCTGGGCGTGTGGTACAACTTCTTCAGAGCCTGGAATGGAGGCTTCTCTGGAAACCTGGAAGGTGAAGGCTTCATCCTCGGGGGAGTTTTTGTGGTGGGACCAGGAAAACAGGTAAATTCTTAACTCTCTACTTGTTGGTCTGTGGATACCTATGTCTGTGAGCAACAGACCCTGCCCAGGGACTGGGTGGCGGGCTGACTTTCCCTGTTTTGGGGCCTCCTCGCCTTCCTCCTAGAAATCCAGGGAATACGAGGAAGGGTAGGAGGGCAACTCCTGGTACCTCACACCTGAATCTACTCTCACCTCACAGTAACGTCACGAATTAACCTGATCATTTTGCAGAGGAGGGACTTGGGACTCAGGGACAATGAGCAGCTGCACCAAGGAACCGCTGGGGTCTGAACCCGGGTTTTCTTGACTTCAAGCTCCATTTTCTGTGCTTGAATGAAAGCATAGTTTTCATTCTGTTTATGAATTTCCTCCCTTGTAGTGTTCCCAGGCCATCAAGGATGATGATAGGGAAAAATGAAGAGGAAAGAAAGAGTAAGAACAGGCCTGAAGAAGGGAGGTGGCAAGGAGATGTGGGAGGAGACCATGCTTTCCCTGTGGGGGTCTGGGGGTCTGGGTGTCAGGGCTGCCCCAGGAGAGGGAACTGACTCCTCTGCAGATAGCCTGTTGTAGGCTCTCGTTACGAGGGTCCACAGCATGGGGACCCCAGGGGAAGGCGTGGAAAGGAGAGATGAGGTCTCTGTGGGCCCAAGAGGCAGGTAGGCAGGGGTTCCATGTTGAAGCATGGGCAACCTTCAGCCACGGTGATCCCTGCCCTGGAGGGCAGTGCCAGCAGAGGCGGATGGATGCGTAGCAGGGCAAAGTGAGTGCAGGCAGGGCCTGGGAGGAGAACCTGGAGACTGGTGGCCTAACATCTAGGCCTGTCTCTGCCAACCTGGGGCATGGCGTTAACATATGTAGAAAGTGCTTCCTTTCTGTAGAAAGACGAGGTTGGTCTGCATTGTTGGATCTTGCTGTAACATTGCTAATTGCATACTTTTCCCAGTTGAGGAATAAAAGTTAATGGGACTAGAAATCCTATTTTAAGCTTTATTTCTTACCTCTTCCTTTTATACCTTGGTAACTGCTTTTGCTTGACTGTATTAGAATTGAGCATAAAATGGTATCTGATTTAACATAAACCTATTTGCTAATATGCTGGTAAATCTATCAAAATTTCTACATGATAATGGCTGCCAGTGGGTGCCTGCCTTGTTCCAGATGCTCAGATAGTCTCATGTCTTCCTCACAACCAGTCTGGGACGTTAGGTAATTTTATTCCCATCTACATGTAAGGAAAAGGGGCTTGAGATACAAAATAACTCAGCCAGCGACACAGCTAGTAAGTGGTACACAGAAATGAAACCCAGGAACTCAAATCTGTCCCGCTCCAGAGACCCGCCTCCGCCTCTGCACACAGCCTGTCTTCCGAGGTGGCTCCCAGCCACCCCTTCCAGATGCCCTCACACTAGGGCAGGCCACTTCCCTAGAGGATCGCCATCCTCTTCCGGCTCTGGCACTGCAGGGTTCCTTCCCCCTTCCTGTCTCTGCCTTCTCAGGGCTCTAGGGCAGGGCTTGGCACACCTGCCAGCCTTTTCTTGCCTGGCAGTGACTCATCTGGTGCTCAGGGGCCTGCTGGCACATTCCAGGTGTTGCTAGGGGTGGTGTTTGGCTTTGTTGTTATTCCCTGTGGCTCCTGGCCTTCATCCTCCCCGGTGGAAGGTTGACTGGGCTGGCAGAGCTTCAGGACTTACCTTTTTAGGAGTAGAGCATTTGCAGTCCCACCGTGCCAGGTGCCACTCAGTGGGGATTCCTTTTGTAATAATAATCTGTCATCATACTTCCTTTAAAGAAGAAGTATGAGTGCACTGTCGAAAATTGGGAAGCAGCGGAACAGTGGAAGGTGGGAGAGCCAGCCTGTGAGCTCAGCCACCATGGATAACAGGTTGTTGAAACACAGCCGAGTGGCCTTTTATTTTATTTGCTTTTTAAGAAAATGATGTCTTACTAAACTAGATGTTCTCTTTTCATTTAACAGTGTATCATGAACCTTTTCCTTTGTCATTATGTATTCTTAGTTTTTTTAATGTCTGCATTATGCTTTATTAGCAAGTAAATGTAAATTTCCTGATGTGCTTCCCTAGAGACACCACTGTGTGGTGGGACTTCTTGTTTTTTTACTTCTTTATTAATAATGACACAGCATATTTACAGATTTTTTTCTTGATTTCAGTTCCTAGATATAAGGGGTCAAAGAACTCTTTAACAAGGAACCCTTGATGCTGATCTCAAACACATTATTTTTTTTACCGTAAAGTTTAGGGTAACTTTGGGGTATCCTATGTCCTAGTGCATTTTTGTCAGAAATGAGAGGGCTCCAGTTTCTTAGGAAGACTAAAGGAAAGAGAGGGTCCCCTTTTCACATAGTCATTGAGTGCCTCCCAAAAAGTCTGCCCTCAGAGCTCCACTTCCACACCTTCAGGCTTTTCTGTGTTAGCTTCCTTCTGTTCTCTTTACCTGGAATGTTCTGTGAAGCCTTCCCTGGTTGCCCTTATCATAATTAGTCACTACTGACTTCGTGCTCAGCACCAAAGTGCTGCTGAGATGTGGCCTTCCCTGATTCACCTTCCTCGGGAGACTGAACTTCTCTAAAGCAGGAGCAAGGCCTGATTTAGCTGTGTGTTCTCTGCTGCCCGAGCACAGGACTTGACAGACAGCTTGGGCTCCGTGTCTGTGTCGTGAATGAATGATTCAGATTGAGGACCGACAATCCCTCTTGTTTCCTTTCTTTTAGGGCATTCTTCTCGAGCACCGGGAAAAAGAATTTGGAGACAAAGTAAACCCGCTTTCTGTTTTGGAAGCTGCTAGGAAGATCAAGCCACAGACTTTGACCTCAGAGAAGAAATGATTGTGTGAAACCGCCTGAGGCAGGATGACTAGGGGCACTCACCAGTGTTCTGAAGGCGTCAGCGTCGGGTTTCCACTGTGTCCCTAAGGAGTTAGAAACCCACCTGTACTGTGTTCTCAGTATGGATTGTTAACATATTTTAATGCTGTCTTCTGTGTATGCCCAGTAAGGCAAAGTAGCCCCAAAACAAGGCTGACAGAAATCTAAGAAATTTGTAAGGGTTATTTTAGCTAAAACCTGGAAGATACGAGGTTTAAACTTGCTGCACCTCATTACAAATGTATATGGTGTTTGAGTGTTGTTATTTGAAATGATTTTTATTTTTATGTCTTCAGAAATCTAAGAAAAGTTGATTGGGAGATTGGAAAATACAAGGTTTTTGACTTTTATGGTTTCTATTAATAACTTGTTATATAATGTCAAAGTATAACTCATATGCTCCAGATTAGTTTGATAAAGATAAATAATAAAGTGAGATCTCTTGTTTCATTGTCTTCCATTCTAACCCCAGAGATTTGTTTTTGTAGAAGAAATGATCATCTCTAGCTCTAATAAAATTATGCATCAGAAATCACCTGTATATAAAACTAATAATAAAAACATTTACCATAATACTGGCTGAAAGTGAAAAATCAGTATTGTCCATGGATATGGAGTAAAGGGTTGTGGGGGGAGCTCCTCTAGATAACCAGAAAAATTCATCCTGTCATTCATGTTGGTGTTAATTTTGCTGTCTTTCCTGGCAGAATGACTTTGGTATATAAAATTGATAGCTTCTTTCCTTATTGGTCTTTCAACCTAATTAGGTAAATCAGAAGGAGAAGGGACATACGATGAAATATAACTTAATACATTAATTTATGTTTGAATTTTGTCATGTGAGTAAGTATGAGGTCGGCAAGAGCCAGGAGGAGAGCTCTGCCCCAGGGAGTCCACTCAAGACACCAAACAGGCCCAGCAGTAGAAAGGCAGAGGTGGGAACAGAGAGAAGAGTGCTCACTCAGGGGACCAGCCCAGCAGGATGAAGGGCGTCAGAGTTTATCCAGGAAAGCAGGAGTGGAGACTGAAGTTGGAAGAAAAGCTGGGCAAGTAGGAGGGCGTTGGGGCTGAGTACGCAGAGTGGGTAGGAGCGAGTGGTTCAGAGCTAAGTGCCTGGGTCTGACTTCACGTGGTGGTGGCTGTGTGCGGTGTGCACAGGCCCGTGGAGGGCTGGGCTTCTGCAGTCTTTGAGGCTACACCCTTCAGTACTTGTACAGTGACTCATCCCCCAGAAGCTGTGATCACTGGGACTCCAAGCTACTGATGGGATAACGCAGATGAGATTCTTTAGTACCCAAAAGACACTTCATGATTCTGAAACAGTTATTTTGCAACTAAACAGTAGGGCTGGGTATGGTGGCTCACACCCATAATCCCAGCACTTCGGGAGGCCAAGGCAGGAGGATTATTTGAGCCCAGGGATTTGAGACCAGCCTGGGTAACAGAGTGAGACCCCACATTTCTACAAAAGATTTTGAAATTAGCCAGGCTTGGTAGTGTATGGCTGTAGTCCCAGCTCCTCGGGAGGCTGAGGCAGGAGGATGGCTTGAGCCCAGGAGTTCGGGGCTGCAGTGAGCTATGATTGCACCACTGCACTGGAGTCTGGGAACAGAATGAGACCCTATCTCTAAAAAAACTAACAAACAAAGAGTAGAACCTAAGAGGACATTGCACCAATGGATGAATCAAGGGAAACCTTATTGTGATCTCTGTCACCAATTTTTCTCTCCTGGGTCCTCTGTGCAATGTGGTCTCTCTCTGATTAGCATGGCATTGTGGAAAAAGCACTAGATTGAGTCATGAGGTGGGTCCAACATCTAGTTTAACTGTGTGACCTAAGCAAAGGTCTGGCCCTCTGTTTCATTGGCATAATTCCTTCCCATCATTCAGGGCTGTTTATTCAAAGTCATTGAGGAAATGATAAATATTGTAAGACACTGCTTCTCAAACTTGAATGTACATGCATATCACCTAAGGATCTTGTTTACTAGTTAAAGGCAGTAAGGACAGATTTTATTCAGTAACTACTGCAGTAGGAGAGAATTTTCAGTGTAGAGCTGAGCTCACCTCCAATCAGTGCAGAAGTAACAGATTTTAAAGGGAGGATGGAGAGTAAGGATGGGGAAGGAGGGGGTGGCTCGAATAGAATCAGGGAAGTGGAAAATTACAAAAAGTTGGTAAGGGAGTTGGTCAGTGTGATTGTGCTTTGTCTGCTAACTGGCAAGTTTATCAGTTAGGATTCTAGCCTCCCACAGAGACTGGGAGTCTGCCTTATCTTTCTTGCTAATTACATGTCACAGGGATGGCTTTCAGGTCATAGAGAAAGACATTCCTGGGTTGTAGAAGATACACATATGCCTCGAAGGGACAGAATAAGGATTTACAATTATAAATTGTATAAAGTAAATGCTCTAAGAAAAAAAGGAGGTTAGAAGCCTATAGTCAGGCTGACTATATAGTCAGAAGCCTGACTATAGGCTTCTAACCTGATAAGAAGTTCCTGCTTCCCCTGGCGGGAACTCAAGGGGGACCAGGTTGTCCCAGAAACACACCTTGAGCTGCTAGAAATTGTGCTATTGTTTTTTCCAAGTGTCTTAGTGTCAGGGGTGGACAAAATCCTTTGTGCTGAAAGTCAGTTTTTTGCAGCTCAATACGCCGGCAGTCTGGGGTGCAGCCTGTGTTTCTGCATTTCTAACAAGCGCCAAGTGATCTGTTCTGTGGGTCACACTTTGAGAAGCCAGGCTCTAAAAGTCCCTACAAATTAAAGTCATTAGTCTCTGTGGGCTTTGGGCTTGAAGCTTCAGCAGGCTTTTTTTTTTTTTTTTTTTAGACAGAGTCTCACTGTGTTGCCCTGGCTAGAGTGCCTCAGAGAAGAAATGATTGTGTGAAACCGCCTGAGGCAGGATGACTAGGGGCACTCACCAGTGTTCTGAAGGCGCCAGCAGGCTTTGGGTCTTTGCCTGAGGACAAATGCCCTGTTGGGAGCCTTTCCTCCCTGGGGAGGCAGGCATCTAGGCTGCTCACTTGGGATCTGTCTTTCTCACTTCATAGAAAAGGTTCTATGGTCCACAAAGGCGGAAGATGATGTTTATGGGATTCATCCGTCTGGGCGTGTGGTACAACTTCTTCAGAGCCTGGAATGGAGGCTTCTCTGGAAACCTGGAAGGTGAAGGCTTCATCCTCGGGGGAGTTTTTGTGGTGGGACCAGGAAAACAGGTAAATTCTTAACTCTCTACTTGTTGGTCTGTGGATACCTATGTCTGTGAGCAACAGACCCTGCCCAGGGACTGGGTGGCGGGCTGACTTTCCCTGTTTTGGGGCCTCCTCGCCTTCCTCCTAGAAATCCAGGGAA